GCATGCTCTTGTAGGTGGCACAAGGCCCGCATACCGCTTCGCAATACATTTCTTGGAAGACACAAACGCCGACGTCAACAAACTATTTCGGCTCTTGCTACTTTGTCTTCGCTATTTTGGAAAATGACACCAAGGGGGTCCTCTGTGACAAAGGGACCCCCTGTACATTAGACGTGTTGCCAGACAGGCGCCAGACCGGCACCAGACCGGCGTCAAACCGGCGCCAAGCCGGCGCCGTACCGACGCCGGTCTGGCGCCAGGCCGCACCGCGGTCCTACTAGGGGCGACGCCTCTGGGAGGGCGCCGCGGCGATCGGGGTGTGAAGGGAAGTCGCGGCTATCGGAGCAACAGGGAAGACCAAGCAGCGATCTGTGGTGCTGGCGAGATCAAATGGCGGTCGGAGCTCCGGGAGGGAGTCGTGGAGATCGGAGCCGCGGCAGAGAGCACCCGGCAATGTACTGCCTTGTGATCTCAAAATAACAAGCAGCCATTTCGCTCCATGAATGCAGATCCAATCCAAGTCAATTTTATTTCTCGAGCACATCCCCAGAAACTCAGTAATCACCCCTTGTGTCATGCAGGTGAGCATGCCTGTTTTCGGAAAGCCCATAATGAACTAAACGTCAAGAGAAGCTTACGGCTTTGGAAGAGTGAAGTCTTTAGGCTTACTAGCCAACTCTTTAAGGTTCGCACCAGAAGTCATTCTTTAATGACTTTTGAAGCAGCAGATTGCTCATAATTGCTCAGATTGCTCAGATTGCTCATGATTCATGTATTTTTATGGAGACCAGTTGCATTTGAATGATACACCAAGGGCAGGGGTGGTCGTCAAAACGACATCGTGAAGACCCCACAAACCCCCACAACTCCGCCAGAAGGGAAATTGAAGTAAGGGGGTCCTCTGCAGGGGTGCATATGATTAAAGGTGGTCCTCTGCCCAAGTAGGACCGGGTTGAAGACTAGCGCCAGTCTGGCGCCAGTCTAGCAACACGCTTAATGTACAGGGGCCGGTCAGAGGACCCCCTTTTGTCATTTGCACCCCCGCAGAGGACCATCTTTTGTCAGAGGACACCCTTTTGTCATTTCCCCTTACTATTTTTATTTACTACTTTCCATCTTTTTCAACAACGTCCGGGGCAGACACCCCAATCTCTCCGCCGACCGCCGAGACCCCACTCACTTGAACGGGTCCTGCTCCCCGACGATGACCATCGCCGGGCAGTCGATGAGCCCCTCGTAGGCCGCCGCGTGCCGCGGATCCCTGGACTGGAACGGCGAGAACAGCAAGCAGAATTTGATTCCCGGCAGGCCGCCCAGCGCCAGGCCCCTCCTCTGCAGGCCCGCCAGCACCAGCGACACGATCGCCCCCTGCGAGAAGCCCACCAGCCCGTCGAACGGGCCGCGTTCCCTAATGTACGCCGCCAGGTAGTCCAGGGATTCCTCCCACCCCATGTACGTGTGCGTGCCGTCCTCCGCCTTGTGGTCGTCCCACCATTCGAAATACGGCCCTTCGAAATTTGCCGCCACGTCCGGCTGCGGCGGGCCAGTGGCTGGGTGGGGCGCGTCGATGCAGTCGATCTCGAGCAAATCGTCCAGCGCCGCTGCCAGGCCCTTGCGCTGAAGCTGCTGGGCCAGGATGGCGCCGCTGGTGCGCCAGCCGTGCAGGCCCAGGGCCCTGAGCTTGCGGTGCGGCATGGCGGAGAGTTGTGGCTTGGGCGCCTGCGGGCGGCTTTTGTACTGGGAACGCATGCGGCCGTGTCCCGCCTGCTGCGGGGGAGTGGGGAGGGGGTGTCCAGGGATGCCGATGGGGTTAGCAAGGGATGCCGGCAGCATGTTGTGGGCGGTGGTCAAGGTGCGGCGAACTGAAGCGGAAGTACTGTTGCGCTGGCGGATGGGGGGATGTTTGGCACGCGGGGAACACACCTGTGACATTGGGTAGTAATGGGTGGACGCTGGGCAGTCATGGGTAGTCGTTGCGGCTGTCAAGGTGCGACTTGGGATGCCCTTTCGGTTGTCAGTTGGGGGGTGGGGGCGCCGTGTTGGACACAAAACGCGCCCGTAGGCACGTGGGGGACGTGGCCATTGGGGGCGCGGCGGGATCAGGTCAGGTTGAGCTGCTCCGCGGCTTGGGGCGACTAATGTACATTGAGAGAAAAGCGCCCACATCGCGCCAGCATGGCGTTCATGATCCTTGTTGGTTTCGAAATGTAGCACAGAAGAAAATCGAGACAGAAACCTGACAACCAGGCTTGTTATTTACGTTTACGTTTTTACGTTTTACGTTTACAGTTTTATGCGTAAAGACCGTAAATTTGCAAAAGAGGCTATTTTAAGGGCTGTTTTTACGTTTTTACGGCTCGTTGTAACACCCAGGTTACATGGTGGAAGTTGCGTACAGTGACCAGTACTCCGCCCTCGTGAGCGCCCGGAACACAGCGTGCACTTCCCACTCGGCAAGGGCCACGATGGAGTGGAACAGATTTGTTTTCTGCCTATTCCAGTGCGTCTGGATGCCGTTCCCCGGAGTCCCGAAGGTTGTATGTACTGTCTTTGTGTACACGGAGCTGTTTTTACGTTTTATTTGCGTATTTTTACGCATTTTACCGTGTAAATATGGAGAACTATTTTTATGCATAAACGTAAATAAGATCTGTGTTTACGGCATAAATAACAAGCCTGCTGACAAACCTCACGACATGTGAACACAAATCTTGACTAAGCCAGCATGACGATCGTTGCCACGAAGCCCATATTTCTGGCCAGAAATATGGGAGCATTATGGAAGCATCATGAATTCTCAAAAGCAGAAAAGAATGGTCCCCTGCACACGTGGTGATCCACCGCCTCCCTCGCACAGCGCCGCACACGATGAAATCTACCTTCGTCGCAAACTCATTTCTCGGCCTGAGAAGCCTGCAATCGCCACCACACAATCGACAGCCACTGTCGCGATCTTCATGGTATCGCCCTCCAACACCGCTGATCCAGTTCGGTTCAGAGTCGCAGTTGCGACTCTCTGTCTCGCGCAATCAACCAGGACATTGCCACCCAGTAGTCCACGGCAGTCCCCAACGCGGTCACACATGCTATGGCTGGACGAGCGACACTTGGGACGGCAGCCCATGAGCACGATACTAATGATCACAGCTGGACGCAGCACGCAACACGCGCGTCTGATTCGACACACCATATTCACTACCACAGTTTTGAAACCGACAACGACGCTTGCTCCCATGAGCTTAGCGACGCGTGGTCCGACCCACCACTGACGCCCATAAGATAACTAAGGAAGATACCCCTTGGACCATATCCAAGGCCCACTCTTGTGCGCACTAGATCGCCCCATTGCATTGCCGGCAGCCATTAGCAGCCTCTCAAAAGCATTGGTACGCATTGTTACTTATGGCGACAGGTCCAACCCCAGGTGATGTTCGCGCCACCAGCAGGCTGTAAGTGGCCCCTAGTGTCGATGACATGGCTGTTTGCCTTGAGCCAGTGAGGCTGCAAGTCTCCGACCATCCACCTGTAATCGAAGGGGATCATCATACCTCCAAACTTCTGCTTCGCCGCTGCCCGCTTTCCTTGTTATTTTTTCATTTTTCTTTTCAATTCACCAAGCCGTTTGAACCATCCATGCAGTTGTCTGCATAGTTGGAAATGTCCCCATGCATCATCTAGAAGTGGCTTTTCCTGACATGCATTTGGCACACTTCCCATTGTACGACTGTGGGCCATCTCATCCGGTAGGCAATTTGCATATCAAAGTCTTGTCATTTTTTTCCAGCACCAAGCCGTTTGACCAATCGATACAGTTGTCTGCGTACTTCGAAATGTCCAATGCATCATCTAGAAGTGCGGTGCCTTTTCCTGACATGCATTCGTCGCTTCTTATTGTACGACTGTTGGGCCATCCCATCCGCTGGGCACTTTGCATACGGAAGTTTCATCATACCATAGATGGGGAAAACGTGCCTCACTGCGCTGGGCAACTCCAACGGCATCATGGACACTGCTTCGCTTGGGCAAAAAAGGCAGCTGATGGCTTCCTCCTCGCCTTCAAGTTGATGTGTAAGGTTTCTTGACGATACTAAACAAGTTTGCCTCCCAAGGCAGGCCATCCAGCTCTGAACTCGAGCAACCAACAACATTTATTGTCTTCACTGGCTGTGGGACAATGGTCTCAAAAAGGCAGTTGAAGTAGGCAGTTGTGCAGAGTAGTGAATCACACGATCCTGCACTTAAATCTGGGGGGGCCTTGCCCACCCGTTTATAGACTTCCTTCTTTGCGTTAACTCGGGTAAGGAGGGCACACTCGGGGCGCCTGACCATCTACTCTAAAACTGGAGAACACATACGCAGAATCTCTGCACTTTTAACACCTTCGAGTGCCGTCACACCAGTTTGCCAATTGTCTCTCCTTACATCAAAATTCAAGCCAATAACCTGGGATGAGGTGGGCGGGAGCGAAAAACGAGATAGCCACACACTCGTTTCGCCAACCTTTAGTCCCAAGTTCCCCGTTTGCACGGATCGTCTCGAAACTGCGTTCCCAGCCGTGCAAAACTGTGCTCAGTTCGGTTTCCTGGACTTTATCACCAACCGCGCCCTGAAACAAGGGTCGCTGCCCATAAGCTAGCCACAACTTTAAGAGTTGTGCCAAACACTTTCTCACTGAGCCAGTCATACCCAGTTTGCGTAGCGGCAGCGCCATTCACACCGAATCCAAGTGTGCCCACAACGGACACTCCCGTTGGCCGTCCAAAGTTCCCTCCCAACGGCCCTAATCCCGATCTAAACACATTCACTCCATTACATTCCGTCATTTCCGCAACTGCCTTCCTCAACTCCCTATTGAGACCAGGTTCCAAACGCCACGAGGTCGACCCAAATTGAGTATTTGGGTCATTGATGCGACGACCCCCACCCCAGTCAACCCAGTCCACCATCCACGCTCAGCGTTCACCCGCAAGTCCCCCTGTCGCTTCCCGGCCCTCTCCGCCATGAGCTTCAGGGGGGGAGGCTTCCGGGGCGGCGGCGGTGGCTTCAACCGCGGGGGCAGGGGGGGAAGGGGGGGCAGCGGCGGGCGATTCTTCCGCGGGGGCGGCCGGGGCGGCGGGCGCGACTATGGCAGCTACGGGCCGCCGGACTCCGTCGTGGAGGCGGGCAACTTCTCGCACGACTGCGAGGGGGAGGCGGTGTGCAAGTTGACGAACGAGAAGGTGATGCGCACCCAGGAGGCGGTTCGGGCGGCTTGGGTCGGGAGAGCGGAGAGAATGGACATTGACAAAGGCGTCCAAGATTAGGGGCCGATTTGGGTGCAAGATTTGGGAGGCATTGGGTGCGCCAACGAGGGCGGTGTGGGGAGAATGTGGGCGTGTGCACCGCCAGGGCGCTACACGGTCTATTGGAACCCGGATATTGTGATCGAGATTTGCGCGTTGTGGAGTGGCTCGAGGGGATGCTGGGGCATTGGAGTCGATGGCGTTGCACGGTATTGATAGATCATCGCTCTCCAGGAGAGGTGGTCGCTCCACCGCGTCGCGATTGCGCGTCCAAAGAGGCGCCAGGGGCAGTGATGGTGTCGCGGCTGAGGGTCTGTGTGGTTTGCTGTTCGCAGATCCCGTACTTCAACGCGCCTATATACTTGGAGAACAAGGCGCAAGTGGGGAAGGTGGAGGAGATTTTCGGGCTCATCAACAGCGCGGTGAGTGTGTCTCGGTGCATGGGATGACATGACCGGCACACTGGCAGATTTTGTCCTTGGGGCTGGGCCTTTGTTGCAAGCCCTCCAGATTCATTGCCAACGGCACGAAGACATGATAAACAGACACGGACATCCTCACGTTGATTGCATTTTTCAGACGACAAAGCGCAACACTTTCACCATTGGCAGTGCTGCAACCATAGAGCAGGAATTGCTCAGGCGAAATCCAGGCAACAGAGAATGGGATGTTGCTTATAAAATGGGCAGTTCAGGCCATAGTTGCCAGATGCTATCCTTGGTATGCTGCCCTTGATATGCTGCCCATTTCCTGAGAAGGAGAACATTGTACTTTCAAAAAATGTTGTATGGACAAGCCTGTCCCTCCCGATGCCCACAAATTGCCAGGTTGTTTGCTTGCTTAATTTTGGACAACTTTAGTTCACTGTGTATGGTTGTCTCTGAATTGGCTGCACCTATTGTGTGCCCACCCTGAATACCTTTGCAAGATGCAGCGGACGTGGATCGCCTGGACATAGGATTATGTGAGTCTTGTGGCAATGGAGGACCCTTCCATGCTGCATGCTTCCAACAGCGCTTGGTAATCTTTTAAGTTCCTTCAAGTTGTGTTGCGAGGGCACCAGTCTTTTGTGTTTCATGAGGGGTGTATGTGTGTATTGTGACTGCGTTCATTCATGACACACAGCTCACACCTTTTTAGGATTACAAGCGCCTTTCAACATAAACTGCTTGTACAAGTATTGGGGGTATTCTGTTCCGTCTGTCTGGAGCTGTGTGTGTCGAAATTGCATGCTGAGGGCAGTTGCTGCATTGTGCCAACAGTACTTCACCATAAAGATGAACGATGGCATTGTGGCTACCTCGTATGATGAGGGGCAGAAATTTTACATTGACCCCTACAAACTGCTCCCACTGGAGAGATTTTTGCCGAGACCAAAGGGAGTTACAAAACCCGGAGGAGCAGGTACGCCTCCTACCATGTGTTTTCTTTTGAGCAATGCCTGGCGCTGTTGTGTTCTATAGTCGCTCACAATGTGGGCAACTTGATGCAAGAGGTTGGGCGATGCGGACATGGCGGAGACACCGATGAAGGGACCCATTGCTCGCTTTTTTGTCTGTGGTCTGTGCGTCGTTTGTTGTCATTTGACAACTGTGAGAAAGCACTGACCCTTGCAACACGATGATGGGCACGATGTGTGGCACTTGCAACGCGATGATGGGCAAATTGTACATAGTGCGAATGGCGGATTGCGGAGCCACCGTTCATTGGGCAGCAGGCTAACATTTGGGTTCCAGAGCCACAAGAGCACAAAATTGCGAAGAGCAGCCAAGGGCAAGCATGGCTTTCCCAATTACTTTCTGATCTGTCAATCGTGTGTGGTTTGTTCTTTTGCAAGGCCATATATTGAGATCCCTTTGAGCTTCAACAATCTGGCACTATTCCAGCTTCGCTATTCAATAGCAGCAAGTGGCATGATCACCATGTTGCATGACGTTGTGTGGAAAGATGCATGAATCTGAACCTCTTTTAGTCACAATCATGCTACCTGTCGTTTGGACGTGCTCGCTCACGCACACACATTCGCGTGCCACCGTCACAGTGCTCACTTGCAACGTGCCTGACAGGCTGGCTTCGGTGTACAGGTGGTGGGCGTGGGGGGGGCGGTTTCCGTGGCCGAGGCGGCAGGTTTGGTGGCAGGGGCCGCGGCAGGGGAGGGTTCCGTGGGGGCGGCAGGGGGCGAGGGGGGATGAGAGGAGGCTTCAGGGGTCGGCGGGGGTGACGGTTGGACGTTCGAAACGCTGTAAAAATAGTCGCAGTAGGGCAGGCCCTGTGCTTGTGGATTGCAGCTTCTTCCTTTATCAACGGTTTCGTGGTGAGGAATTATTCAAATCGCACCATGTTCCTGCCGTCGGTGGAGTGGCGAGCGGCCCTGGCCAGAAACAAGAGCTGCTCTCCACGGCAAATGTGCAAGCGTCGCAATCCGGACCAGTTGTATGTTCTTGTCCCGATGGCAATGGGTTTTGTGGAGCCGCCGTGAGGGTGTTCCCGATAGCGACCACTGATACGGATACAGAGACACTGCACGTACGCACCCCAAAGGCTAACGCCCAACCGCCCAATCGTGACTCGTCCCCTTGTCAGTGGTCCGTATCCGGAACAGCGTGACGCCCACCTTCCCAGTCGCGACTCGTGTCCATCTTCGCCTATGTATCAGCGGTCACTATGGAGCGAATGCACAGCCATTCCCGTCTGTCAGGAAATGCAATCAGGAAACGCAGTCTGCCTGTGTCTTTATGACGTGTACATTGGTCCCGGGTGACGTGCGCGACACAACTGATACAAGAAAACGGCGAGAATTTTTCATATGGTGGAAGAATACGGCAGACCAAGTTTTCATGTGCCTTGGCTTGAACCGCCCATCTCCACATACCTCACCCAAACCCAACTGCGAGCTTTGCTGCTTGTACTAATCTTCCCAATTCGCAGTGTGCATCCTTTCGCCGCCATTGCCCAAAACTGTAACCCAAGATCCTTGCATACGCAAGGCTATGGCGCCCAATTCGTTGGCCCAGGGGCTGAAGCCAGGATTGGGCACACCAGCTTCAGCGCGCGCCACTTCTATGCTGTGAGCCCTCGTGGCCATCGCTGCACAACATTATCACACCCTGCACAGGGTGCATGCACACCGCAAACCAAGTTGACAAGACATTTCCGCGCTCGCTGCATGTGGCCAGATAGAAACCCACAGTCCCTGAACACTCGGAACATGAAAGCACTCTTTGAGACGTCACAGTGGTGTCCCAAACGCTGTCTCCACCTGGAAACTCGACAGCAAAGAACTGAGGGGCTGCGATTAGCCACTCATTGAATCGTTGAGATACGGTTATTTGCATATTTGAGCATGGCGGTCAAAGACACTGAAACGCGCAGTGCGAGACAAGCCAGCCCCTCAGATGCGCTAGTCTTCGTTGCTGCCAACATGCACCAAGAAACAACCCCCTGTCAACTGCAGCCAAAATGTCACAGCAATTCAATGGCCCTCGCTTGCCTGCAGGCGCGTGACCATGGACATGAAGCAAATCCAGTGTCCAAATACTAAACGGGTCCATAGAACATCCTCCTCGGCTGTGCCTCGTCGGATATCAGGTGCCTCAGTGTGCACAGATTCTGTGAGCACGTTCGCCAGGTAATGCCCCACCTAGTGCGACAAGTTTCACCAAGATTCAACAAGGCGGAAAGTCTTCCAGAAGAGACATTCAAGCTAGTCAGGGGAACCCAATGGAAGGCTTAGCATGCGCCATGGTCGGAAATGTCGCCTGCAAAGCTGCAAGCAAGTTTGTATGCACGAGATTCCCTGTACCACCACGACGGCAAAATGAGCTCCCAGGCACTGCTATATTGTGTACAGCTAAATCTGAATGAGAATGCGCTCTCACGTGCTACAAGTAGTATATTCTCTGTACGAGAAATGCCGCATGGAAAGCCTGGTCAACGTTGCGTTGGACAGCTGCGCATCAGCGGCTGACTGCTGCCGACATTTTCTAGCCGCACTGACATTCACGGCGTCGGTATGAGCACGCACTGCTGCTGGTTGAAGATTGGCTACCGTATGCATGCAAGCAACAACACAACACACTGACACCCTCGCAGACCTGTGCCTCTCAGCCGCTCGTTTGCTGAACGCGCCGTAATGGGGATATGATTCATGGGGAACCCATGACTGCGCGCTGCCTGCTGCTGCGCCGCACGGCATGGGAACAGTGCGTTGGCAGGAATTCAGCATTTGCCGCCTGCAGACCACATCCATGAAGCTTGGACAGCATGCACCCGCCGAAGGGCTTCTGCGTCGGTGCCTGTGCAATACATGCCTTGCCAAAGAGGAGCCGAGACAGCCACGCAGGTCCACTGGGCCCATGCCCCGGCTTGCACACCAACAGGGGTTTCCTCGGTTTCGGACATTGTCAGTAGGGACACTTCGATGGGTGCTCATTCCGCCTCAAGACGTCGCACTCAAGTGCACCATCTGTGACAGTAATCTTTCCAGTCCAAGCTGAGGGTGGCACCTGAACACACAACGATCGCCACCAATAGGAGAAGCAAGTGGTGCAGTGAGCCCACCACGGCGCAGAACCTTCAATGGCCTGTCCTTGCAATGGGCGAACGGTCTGTCTTAATTGCAAACAGGCCAAAACTATCGGGTTGCAAAGGACGAAGCGCGTGCCCATCGAGCAATGTGGCGAAGAGGCTGACAGGAGTTTAAGCGGCCCATCGCACAGCACCCCCGCTGCATTGTGGAGCAAACGAATATCCATGGCCGTGAAAACTACGGTAGATAGATGGCCTGAACTAAGCGCCCAAGCGCGTACGTGAACCGTTAGGAGAAGCTCCACAGGTCTCAAGCAAAGCAAGCCCACTTACAATGACGCACATTTCTGAGCGAAACTGTGCTAAGCCAAGAGTGAGTTATGCAGCAAATGGTGTTGTTTTTGAAGTCTGCAATTCTGCGGTGCCATGCTCGTGCATCGCCAAGTCAAACAAAGACATAGAACACACCGCAGCTTCCGTGTCGGACAATCCCTGTAGCTTGTGAGGTCACTCACTACTAGAACACTGAATGTGGCAGTCTCGACTTCAGTTGGTTTGAATTTTAATCCATGGTGGCGGTGTTGAGATACTGAATACACAAGAAGTCTTCCTCCGCAAATTGCTGGTGATCATGGGTACCTGCCATTGCGCTGCGAAATCGGTTCCTGCCGCTGGACCTTTGGGAATAGGCGCGTCCTCTCTTGTATCTTCCAGTTGGGTGCATGGAACAACTACAAGACGATGCGTCAAGAGTTTTTACAAAACAGAGAAACACGCTTCTTTGTTTGATGGCGTTTGTATCGACGTCACAATAGACAATTTATTACTCCAGAAGTGTAAAGGTGCATTTGGTTGAAATACACCGAGAACACGTGACACACCACTCATCACCAGCCGCCTTCCAGTCGGGTCAATAACTGACTTTCTGAATGAGAATGCCATTTGCTGACTCCACTATGAGTGCAGTGCTGACAAGAAATAGGACTGCTCTGAAAACCACACCCTCAAAACACAATTCCTTAGGTATTGTGGTGTCCATGCAATACAAGCTTGCAGTAGCGACGCAGAGGCCAGGAAGAATTCCAGCAGTTATGCATCTGCTCCTGTTCATCACGCAAGCCACAGCATTTCCATGAAATTGTCTCTGAAATGGCAATTCATTTGCCAGTACACCAATCTGCAACTGGGCTTTGCTACCAGCAGAAGGATAATAGGGTAGCAATATCATGATCTGCAGTTTCATGAAAAACCCAATTCAAGCAGTCAGCCGACATTCAGAGCAGTTGAAAAACAGGATACCAAAAGAGAAAACATTTGCGCACGTCAATTGCACACACCACCTGTTCGTATTGCACGTTCATACCACATTATCTGAGCATGGACATTGTGTTGCAGCCAACCATAGTTGCAAGGTGTGAATGATAAGCATGACGGTGCTGAGTGACATCACAAAACTCCTGTTTGCATGCCGCACCTCCAGCTGTGGAATGAGCATGTCTCGGTACGTCCACCTTAGGTCGTCTTGATGTTGATTGCAGTTGTCTGACTGTCGAGTAGTTACACTCACACATTTGCTCATGGCCACGATCAACTGAAACCGTCTTGACATCACCTTCAGTCCATCTGCAACACTGGTTTGGACACGCTGCAGTGTGAGAGGTACCACAGAGTCCAGCACGCCACCCTTCGATTCCGTGCCAAGGTTGTGTTGAGCCTTGCAAGCGACTGAGTGTTGGGCTCGATCCAGCCAGTAGAATGCGGCGATGTTATCCACAAGAAGAATCCTTGGCTTGCCATAGGCCTGGCAAGCACAAGGAATGATCGAGCACATCAATGGAATGAAAACAGGCAAACCTGGCCTGTGCATGCATAATTGCAAGGTGTTCCCTTGATGTGTGCATCTGTGTGTTGCTGTTATTAAATATTCAAAGCAAATTGCAAACGTACATGTCACTTGGCCAACATGCCACAGTTGTTCATCGCACATTTTGTTCAAAGAGGCCAATGATGTGTACTGTTTCTATTGACAACTGCCATGGTTCACCTAAATGCAATTGCACAAAATACACGAGTCCACAAGTCAGGTTGACCACAATTCTGCAAGGTTGGTGTGGCAGTTGAGTACACCGCATTGTTGAAAGGCATGAAAACATACCAGTCCTCTTACCTCTAGTCTTGACAACACCCTGGGCAGCACCTTCAAAGCTGCCAGGAATTCATAACTGCTGTGACAGCGAATCTGTGAAAGCAAAAAGGGAAGCTCACATAGTGAATTGCCATGCACAACTGCAGTGAGAACCGAATGCTATAATCCGAGTGCAACTGTGAACTCGCCCCAAGACATCAGAGCACCCATGCGAACCCGAGACCACACAAGAGATAAACACAATCTGTAACTGCATTGCCAGGATGTCAACATCTATAAAGTTGGCTGTTGACTGATAGCATGATCCCCACGCATCCAAAAGCACAATACGCCTGGCCGATCGGTGCTCTCTCGAGAGTGATCATTTTAGGATCCATTAAGGCATTTGGGATCGTCACAACAAGCAACAAGTAACATACCAAGTGAAATTTTGCAAGGCAATATTCTCTCAGGGAAGTTGGGACTGCATCACCACCTGCAAATTCAAAATAACAAGATCAAGCTGTGCACAAGTGTGCATCCAAAAGGCACAACAAACATGGCATAGTGTCGATGCTGGCAGTTTGCACATAAAGGCTCTTTTTGGCTGGATACTCAAAAATGTGACAACCAACAGGCACCAACTGCTTTCCACCGGAGAGTGCCTGTTGAAGGTCAGAACATCCAGCTGATGCGCAACAATTCCAACGCACCTTGTTGATAAGCTCCCAATTCCCCAGCCAACCGCCTGTCAAGCACCTGGCAAAATGTGCGATTCGGTCACATGAAATCTCAAAACCACATCCACAGTTCACCAAAACCATAGGCAGGAACACTTTCTGATTTCATTTCCAACTTTCTATCATGTTGCGAAACAGAGCCCTTTCCCAAACACGCTCTGCACGAGGGCAAATTTGGACAGCCCATCTGTGCAGACATACAACATCAAACACCAGCATTTGTGTGCTGATTGATCAGGCAACAAACACGTGGGTCAATAACCACGACTCGAGAAGCTAGTTTACAGTGCAAAGTGCAGGGACAGAGGTCACCTGAACTAGCCTCCAGGCATCGAAGCGTCCATCGATGTCCATGTATACTGCCACACCTGCCACCAAAACTCTGTGAGCAAGACCCAACAGGCAACAATCAACTGCCTCTCAGTGCATTGCATGGAAATTTTGCTGTACCTTCTTGCCCGCCAAAAGAAATTGCATTGAAGGTCTTGGGAAGCATGCAACTGACGGCCATCTACCGCAATGAGCCAAACCACCACTTAGGTGAAAAGATTCACCCAGGAGCACATCAGCCCATCAGCGACAAATGCATGGAGTGAAGATCCATCCATTGTAATCAAGACATGCAATGGTTGCACAGCTCGACTTCCCTGGCACGTTTTGTACACCAGAAATTAAATAACATTCAAGAGTCCAAGGTACACTGGATACCTTGCACAACTGAAAGCAACATTTGGCAAGATATCAGACATTCGGATGAATAACCAGCCGTACTTCATTCACTGCATTTAGCTGCTGTAATTTCCGCCGCATTTTGACCAGCCGCACAATTTTGGGAACGCTGTTGCCGGTAGGATTCCGTCCACCAGACGGATCTGGCGAATCGCGAGGCGGGATGCAACACTCCATTTCAGCCGACGATCATCCACTCTACGCCAGTTTAAGTGGACATCCCTGTGTCCCATGCAGCCTGAAATTGTAGGCTGCGAATTCACACAAAGACCTGCAAGCACATGGCGGAGGCGCCACAGATTCTGGTGCTCCTGCTGCAGGTTTCGGCATAGCAGGAAGGAGAAAAATGGCCCCAACAAATCCCTCCCATTCGATCCCTCCCATTTGCTGTGCCTACAGGTGGTCCGATTCGCAAAGCGACAACCGCACTCCGCCAGAGCCGCGGCACGTGATCGGCGCATCGGTGCCCACCTGCACCAGCAGCTCCGTCTTCCCGCTGCCCAGCGGGCCCGCGATCTCCACCACGTTGCTGGGTCAGAGGGCCACGTGCCGATCAACTGCACGCCGGAAAAGAACGGATCGACGTGCGTCCGCCTCAGGAGCTGCGCCGCCGTCTCGTCCGCGGCAACGAAGTCCAACAGGATGCCGTGGGCGGCCATGGCCGGCAGCCGTGGCAGCGGGCGCCGAGGGCGGGGCTCCCGGCCCGAGTGTTTTAGTGCTGATGATGAAGAGGATGCCTGACCCGGGAATGAACCGGGTACCTCTGAAAACGTCCCGCTGCTCCACCAAACCACCTGGACCAGGGGCAGGAAGAGGGCAGTCCCGCAACTTGAGGACCCTGCCACCCAACACCGAGCCACCCGCTGGCGGACTTGGCGCCAACTTTCCACACGGAAAGTGGCGAAAAGCGTCAACGCTACGGCTGAGTAAGAGCGCGTCAAACGGCGCGTTTGACAGGTTGGCCTGCTAAGTCGACTCGATTTATGTTGTTACGCGGACGCCATGAAATTAGTCCCTCGCTCTTTTTTGTGATGGTCATTCCTGTTTTCGGCACCGTGAACCTAAACCACTGACCCACGTTGGCCTTGTCAGCACAAGAAGAAGGGGTTTTCAAGAAAAACAGGTGGGGGCTATGTTCTCCTTTTGGTACCGTTTTCCTCTGTGCATTTCCTACGCGGCACGACCGGTGCCTGGCTGGCAGCCCAGCAGCCCTCCGCGCCTGGTTCTCCGCTGCTTCCATGCGCAGGAACGTGGGGCGAAAGACCCCGTGACTGCCCCACACATCCGCCCTCCGCCCTTTGCCCCCCAAAAGGCGTCACGTCATCGCGGCATCTCCCGAGATGGATCTCGCTGTTCCGGGCGGACGTGGCCCCCGCCACGATTCTGGCACCCCCTCCCCCAGTGCTCTGCGCTGCAGGCGAGGCTGGGCCCCTTCTCTAATCGCCCCCCCTCCCCAAACCCCTCTCCAGGCGCACATCGCGAGTCCCTCCGTTGTCGGTAGACCTTTCTGTGGCCGCGCTCGGAGCCGTGCGGCGACCTGTCGGCCATGTCGGCGCTGTCGGGCCCGGCCCCTAATGGCCTGCGCGCCCACGCGCTCAAGGTGAGCGCACACAAGGAGAAGAAAAGAGGAGTCGATCTCAGGGTCGGGAAAATTGGCCCCCGCGGCGGCGGCGCCGGCTGGAGAGCCTGCGATGGCCCTGGGGCAGTTCGCGGAGGCGCCCCGGGTCGGGATCGGCGTTTGGAAGGCGAGGATTGCGCGCTCCGAATAGGGGATTTCATTTGAGTCCCACACTAGAATTCCAACCTGTGGCTACGGGTTTTTGCGCTCGCGGGCTGAGGTCCCCGGAGATTGTTTCTGCGCGCTGCTTACAGACTGCGGCTCTCGCCGCATCGGCCATGCCTAACGGGGACTGCATCTTGGCTTAATGCCGGTCGCGCCCGCTGGGCGCCTCCGCCGTTCGAGCGGCGTCGAGGTCGAGGTCCGCGGCGCGGTCGCCGGTGATCCAAGATCGCACTCGCCTTTTTTCACCGTTCCTCATTTTTCGTTTCCGCGCTCAGAGGGGCATGCCGGCGCCAGGGAGCTTTGGCGCTCACGCGAGGGGTGTCCGTGTGTGCAGGGCTCCGCGTCCGCCAGGCTGGGCCGGAACCTGCGCTTGGAGGTGGGGGCCTTCTCCGTGCGGCCGTACACCCTGAGGAAGGGCGACACGTGGGAGAGCATCGCCGAAAAGAGAGGTGACCGGGCGAGTGGCGAGGTCATGTCGCCTTTGGCGGGGCCCCGCCCCGGAAGGGACTCACCCCTGGTGTGCATTCCGAGGACGCGTGTGTGCCTCAAGAGTTGTGGTAAAAGCCCCGAACTTCAGGTCATAAAAAGGAGCACCCCTCCTGAGCAAGCGCACAGCGGGCCCTGCTCCGCATCGCAGCGCTGCAGGTTTGCGCCATCAACAACAACGGAGTCGAGAGCATGGCACACTCTCCAAACCAACCAACAGATGCTCCGGGTGCGGGCGGCCGTGCTGGCTGGGACGCTGGGGAAAGCCGCCAGCGTCTGTAGCGAGCCGCCCCGCCAGGCATTTTGGCCGCCGGGTCGCCTGGAGCCTCGGCTTGGATGCTTTCTTGTCTCGCAGCAGCGTTTGTTCCCAGCCGCGAATTGCCATAGGTCGCGGCAACTGATCTGGTCGCAGTGGGGCAGTCACCAAAAGCGTTCACGCCTCCATCCCTTGTGCCGCAACGCCGGGGAGGCGCGCATGGGTGCTGGTGGTTGTCCATGGACATGCGGCAGCCAATCCGCCGCCGCTGGGCTCGGCAAGGGCGGCGTGTGAGAAGCCCAGTTGGCCGTGTGCAGGCTTCGAGGTGCAGGAACTGCAGAAGCTGAACCACTCGATCAAGAAGAACGGGCTCGTGGAGGGCACGACGATTGTGTTGCCGGCCGGGGCGCTGTCCGACAGGGACAAGGAGATCATTCAGGGCATCGGCTGGAGGTACCGCACCTACCCCGTGCGGGCGGGAGAGTCGATCGAGGCCATCACCTCGAAGAGGGGGATCACGATGGCGGAGATCGAGAAGCTGAACCCCGACGTGGATACCAAGAAGTTGAAAAGTGGGTGGCTGGGCAATGACGGGCACCTGGAATTACCAATATTCTGGATGAGATGGACTCATATGAGGCTTCGAGACTCACGTTTACACTGCAGGAACGGTGCTAAGGGGATGGTTAATTCTTCACCTGGCAGCCTGGCCTGTTTCTTTGTTTATTTGTTTGTTTGCGTGTTTCTTCTTACATAGATGTATCGACAGTATGTCACAGCATCGGTCAATGTGGCTTACGAAGCCAGTGTGCAAGGGGCATTTCCAGGCCCACCTGTGCCACCAAAAACTCGCCTCTAAAGGCGGTCACTGTAGCCACCGAGCCCCTAGAAACTTCCCCAAGAAACAAGAGAAAATGTCTGCAGGCCAGAGATCAGAGTAATAGTCTATTCACCTCGTTCACCTCCTTGGCCCCAATTCGGCCACTCATGGAGCTAAGAAAAGCACCATATCGGCCGCAATGTTTCCAAACCAGATTGTGCAGATCCACAAATCAATTCCTTCCGCATTCAGCCACTTCTCATGCAACTCGGTCATGCCATTGCAATCCAGAAGAAAATGTTCTTGGTGATATTGTTCCTCGCATAATACACAATCGACCAGGTCGTCATCATCTTGCAGTAGTTTGAAACTGCCAAGGTGGCAGTGGCCAGGCAGCTGCCTGGCTTGGGTTCTGTGTTAGCCAAGCTGCTGTAGCAGTGTTGCACATTGCAGCATGAAACTAGTTTATGTTGCCACACATTATGTCTTCAGTGGAAAGATGTCCCAGTCAAGACTTTGAGGGGGGTTGGACCTTTTGGAGAATCTGCTTGTCACCAGAGCGGGCTTGCCAGTGGTCAGGTGCAGGCAGTCTCATGTCAGCGTTTTCAGCCTGGCTCTGGGGGTAATTTGAGCCGATGCACTGTGCTTGGGGTGCTGCATCCAACAATTGTAATGTGTACACACTCCATTACTACTTCAGTTTGGGTGCTGCAAAGCAAAGGTACTGTAGCTGGCCCTGAGTTGCGCCAGCTGTGTCGCAGTTTCGTTGAGTGAATTTCTGCACTGTGCTTACTGCAAGTGTGCTGTTCGTGTCCATTACCAGCGAACCAGGTGCTGAAGCTGCCGGCAAACAAGTACACTGTCCGTGAGCGGGAGATGCTGATGGGTGTGGCAGGGGTACCCACTGAATTCTTTCAGAGCAAGGGCTTCACAGTTTCCGCCTGTGTATTGGGTGAGTTACAGGTAGTCATGACTCCTTGCAGCCCAGACAGATCTGTGGCTTCTTGCAGTTGTCCTCGTCAACTGCACAGGAACAACATGTGTTGTTGAGGCAGATGTGCGAGGAAGAAGAAACGAACGAATGGGAACTGACAGGCTTTGAGAACGTTCAAATGGTTTGTGTTGCCCACTTGGTGCAGGGCCCCTGTGTAGTCCAGTGGACCCAACTGCCAACAATTGAATTGACTAGCTGACTGGGAATTGGGCGCCTCAGTAGACAATTCCCAACAGTCATCGCGAGTAGTGGAAAGCCGTCAAAGAGTATTTGTCCATTCCTGCCAAAATGCACTGCTTGTCGTTTGCATCAGCTACTGCTTGAAACAATGGCATCACACTAAGTGGTGATAGTGGATTCGGTGAGAACGTTGCGAGTGCACAAGAATACACGTTGCATGGTGTTTACTGTGTGCCAGTCGCGTGTGGTGACAGAGCATGACAGGACAATGACTGGCGCCCAACGGGGTACTGCGTATTGGACATAGCGTGTACTGTGTAAACCATCCTTTAAAGTCTGTCCTGTTCCAGTATGCGGCTGTGGACGAGAGTGTACCAGGCGCTGGCCAGCCCTGCCCATCACAGACATCAAGCCTGAAATGTGTCGTCAGTTATGGTGGGCAGTTACCCCTGCCTGGGTTTGCATGCTGTCGCCTTCAAGGTGCAAGGGTCTTGTTGGTCGCACCCAGGCACAGCCGAACAGAAAACTTCTCTGGGAAAGTTTCAACACGACTCCTCTGGGCTTTTGTGCGCCTTGATGTAATGCTGATGGCATTTCTCTCGCCTGTGTGCGACTCTTGCAGTTGTCGTGGGTGTGGTCGGCGTCATCACTTGGTGGAAGGAGCGCACTGACAGCGACTGATCACGACCACGAAAGGCAAAGCTGCAGGAGCTTCCGGCACTGTGTGGACTTGTATTCGAGCCTCCCGGCCAGCCGTTCATATTGCCATTATCCTGGAATGAGTGAGCGAGGCAAGAATGCTGCCAAGATTGCTGGGTCCCGTGTTCGGGACGAACAGCGAACTCTGCACAGCCTGTTGGTGCATGTGACGTGTGGCCTTCCAAGATGGGATGCTTCTCTGGGGCTGCTTGTGCCCAGTGTTGTATTAGTAGGCGAAGGTTTTATGCAACGAGTCAATGTCAATGGGGCGGGTGATGTGTTTCACAGGTGGCCTGTGTTGAAGATGATGCTGATGTCAGTGGTCCTGGTGTAGCATTGATGAAGAGATGCAGCTTGCGTTCATCTGGGCTGCACTGTAGGCCATTGCACCACTCGCTGGGAGCAGGCGCCGTTGCAGTACGCATAGGCAATCTGCACCCCATAAGTCGCGAACATTCTCAATCCCCCTTCTATTTTCACCAAAAATCGTGTCTGCATCAAATGAGAAACTCTTGGGCACCACCAGTACTGTAGAGAGCTGCCACAACGTGGCTCCCAGGGCCAGCTCATTCGGCGCCCACAGCTGCACATAGTCGAAATGCTTGCATTTCAAACTCTGAAATCCAAGGCGCTCCTGGGCGAGTCTGAGGGTGAGAGGCCAAGTCCCCAAAACCGTTGTTTCACCTAGCATCTTCCATTGATGAGCGCTTGTCTTCAACACACCGGGTGTCATTCTGCAGTGTCACGGCTGCTATGGAGTTGTGGCCGACATGGCGGTGAGTCACGACTTGTGATTAGCAGCGTCTTGCAATTTCGGCAGTTCTGACATCCGGGCGGTGGTATGGAGCTTAGGTCAAGCTGCCAGAGGCCGCCCAAATGTATTGCAGATGGTTCCATCCCCCAAATCCTTCATCACATCGGCAAATGCGCATTTGATATCACGCTAAAAACACACGTCCCCTGCCCCGTTTCGCCAGGATTCTCAACAATAGAAACAAACGCCAACCTTTCCACTCCGCACCTCGACGCCTGCGCACAACTCCGCAGAAAATCCCCTTGTGCCTCACCGCAGTGCGCGCATGTGTCCCTCAAACGTGCGGTGCAGTGCATTGCGCACTGGTGAAGGACAGCGAAAGAGATATTACAGCAAGAGGTATTGTCCCTTTGTCCGTGAGTGGATAACGTGAGTAACGTCCATGCAATGCTCCCACAGTATGCACATGTGCACGCCTCCCACGCCCAGCTTAAAATCACCTTCATCATCATTTTTTACAGAACAAAGCCAGGCAAAAATCACCCCACCTCACAACCTTGGAGCTCGTCGACAACATCGATCAGTCCCCAACGCCCACCAGTCGGACGCACCGAGCCCCAGTTTCTGTCCCAGCCTCGTCACCCCCTTCCCCAGGTCTTGCTCGGCGTACGTCGCAGCCGCCCTTCCCTACTAGGGCAGAGGGGGTGGGTGTGGGCGAGTATAAAAGGTTTTGACGTGTGCGCAAGGGAGGAGTCCCTACTTGCACTCCGACACCCCTCGTTGCGCGTGCATTCCTCAGCCCCCGCCCACGACCACCCCCACAGCCTCGGGCGCCTCAGCCCCTCAACACCGTGTCGCCCCCCCCCCCCGGCGGCCGCAATCAACGGCCGGACGGCTGCGCTGAGCTCAGAGCCCGCCGGCGCGCGCCGCGGGACGCCGCCGCGGTCGATTGCGCGAGGTGGGACCGGCCAACCGCCGCTGGGATTGCATCTCTGCGCACTTTCCCGCCCGGAGCGTATCATTTTGCCGATGCCTTGCTGCTCCGCCCGCAATGCGGCTGGCCCAATCGACCGGTGCCCCTTCCAGAGATCCCTCCCTCGGCTTAGATTCGCGCCGCTGGGCCTGTCGCCGGCGACGTAGATTTCGAAGCGCGTCGGTTTCGCGGGCGCAGGGCGCATTGTTTTCTCCGCGTCGCGCTCGCGGAACTGGGAGAGCTCATCATCGTCTCGCTGCGTCAGGTTGGCCGCTCGAGCTCGTGGCCAGAGCGTCCGCCCGCGCGCGAACGCTCGCGCGGAGGGAATCCATTCTTGACGCCTTGCCCGCGGCATGGCCTCGTCGGCCCATCCCACGGCGACGCCGTCGAGACGGCGGCAAAGAGCCGCTGCCGATTGCCTGCCGGGGGCTGCTGGATGTGACGCTGCGCCATTGACGCATTGACTTTGTTGTGCGCAGTGCCGGGCGGGGATGGTGCAGACCGGCGAGGACGGAGGCGGCCTCGCGCCAGGCAGGGGGGATGAAGGTGGGTTGGATTGGAGCCAGCGGACCTGCCGAGATCCCTAGCCCCGCACCTGAAACCCGCCAGACCCCGCCGGACTTTGCAATCGCCCCACCAAACGCCCCTTCCGAGTTATCTGCTCGTTTTTGGTGGGGACA